CATTCTGCTGAAGGAAGGCGATCGCGAACCTGCTAAATACCCATTAGTCATCGATGTTACCGATGCAGCAATAGAGAAGCCATCTAACACGGCTCCATATACTGCTTACCATAGCAGCGAGCTTCATACATTGCAGGATATGGCAGCTGAAATATGCAAAGCATCGAGTGAACATGTAGATCACATTTACGACAACGAGGTCACAGTTGTTTCAGTTGCAGAAGCTGGGGAGGTCGAAGAAGGAAGGGTTTTCCGTGATAAGGAGATTTTAAAATTGAGCCTATCCTTGTTTGCCATAAGGAATATGTTTAAGTTCATGGTTGAGCGGTCAGACAAGAAAGAATATGTTGTGAGGTGTTCATAGGAAGGATGTAGTTGGATATGCAGATTGTTGAAATGGGACAAAACGGATCTATTTAAGATTCGAAAGATTGGTAGTCACACATGTGCATCAAATGTAGTGTTGGGGTCAAATAGACAAGTCACAACCGCAGTTGTTTCATCTAGAATTAAGTATAAGTACACATCGTCCAGCACCATATACACACCAAAGGATATATGCAGTGAAATGTTGCATACTTTTGGAGTTTATTTGAACTACACGAAAGCTTGGAGATGCCGTGAACAAACCTTGAAGATGATTATGGGTGATCCAACCGAATCATTCAGTAGGATACCAAGTTTCTTCTACATGATCCAACAAAAGAATCCAGGTACGGTCACATATCTAGAGATTGATAGTCACAACAGGTTCAAGTATTGTTTTATGGCACTCGGTGCTTCAATACGTGGGTGGCCACATTGTAGGCCTGTAATTGTAGTCGACGGTACATACTTAAATGGTCATTGCGGGGGCACACTCTTCACAGTATGTACACAGGACGCAAGCAATAGCATATTTGTTCTTACTTTTGGTGTTGGGGATAATGAGAACGATAACTCTTGGAGATGGTTTTTGGAAAAACTGAAAGAGGCTTATGGATATAGAGAAAGACTATGTTTTGTATCAGACCGTCATAGCAGTATAAAGAAAGCAATAGAACATGTGTATCCAGGAGCCTGTCATGGTATTTGCTCGTATCATTTGCTACAGAACCTGAAACATTATTATGAAAAATCAGGAGAAAATATTACACAAGCTTTCAACTCGGCTGTCCGCGCTTACACATTGGAGGAATTTGAATACAACATGCATCGACTACACACAATGAATGAGAATATTACTGGATACCTGGTAATGTATTGCTTTCCAAAAATAGATATCACGCACACTAAATTGGTCACATATGTCATTGTATATGGAACTCATATGTATGATACATGTTTGCAGGCTGAAGTCGGCCCTGAAAAGTGGTCGAGAATTCATATGCCAGTGAACAGATTTTTCACAATGACATCAAACATTGTAGAATCAGTTAATGCAGTCACAAAGGCAGCTAAGAATTACCCCATTGTGTCGTTGATAGAGTCTTTACGACAAACAGTGCAAACTTGGTTCTGTAAACATAGAGACGAGGCGCATGGAACTTTCACAACGTAGACAAGCAAGTTTGAGAACAGTTTAAGAAAAATGAGTTTAGAATTAAGGAACTTAAGGGTAGGTATCTTATCTTTATCCTGATATTTGTGTATGTGTACTAAATGAAGATACATGTGACCTGACCATAATTGCATCCGACCTGGAATGAACAGTTGTGATTGTGTTCTAACTATAAATGCATGTGACCCAGTATTAAATTCATCTCTCTTGAAATTTGCATTTGCAACGCTGAGTGATTTGGAGTTTGCATCCGTGACTCGAATCCATGATATCCAAAATAAAGTATAACTGCATGTGACCCGATTTGAGCAATGTACACTGAAATTTGCATGTCTATGACCAGAACTGATCTTTTTGAAACTGACAAAATACAATTGGTACTACAACACTACATTCTTGCAGGTATCTGCTTCCAACCAGACAATTTTTTCCGTCATCAACAATGACAGGTCCACCTTTGTTGTTGATATTGAGGAACGTACATGTACGTGTCGGATGATGCAAGTCGATCTGATGCCCTGTCCACATGCATTGGTTGTAATTGCGCATACAAAAAGGGATCCGTATGCTTACTGTTCATATTATTACACAAATGATGCATTTTTAAAAGCTTATGAACATTCAGTATATCCTATTGGAAACCCAGACGAATGGACAGTTCCTAATGAAGTACAAAACCAAATTGTGTTACCTCCTGATCAAAAATGAAGTTGTGGAAGACCTACGGAGAAGAGGAAGAGATCATCTAGAGAAGGCAAACCGAAAGTAAGATGTGGACGGTGTGGTGAACATGGACACAACCGTAGGAGATGCTTAAATTTTCTTCCATTAAACAAGAGCGTTCGATAGAGTAACAACGTTTGAAAAAGACAGCTCATAGTAGGGATCAATACCTGATAAAAACACTAAAGTTTTCATTCTTGAATAAGAAACATTATTCAATTGTGACCATATGTCATATTCTTGAATTTGAAACATTACTGGAATAAC